GATTCCTGTTATTATAAGGCCAATCTTCCACGTGTATTATTCTAAAGTTAAATTAGAGTTTAGTTTTATTTTTTTTAATTTTACGTTAGACCCCGAGTGGCGGGTCATTGTATTCCGAAGTATGGAAGTTATTGTATATAGAGAAAAATAAAGGGTTTTGTATACCCTTCGTCTGTATCCTGTCTACTTACTACAATTAGTGAACCTAGCTTTAGTAAGCTCTCTGTTCCTAGTCAGGTCCTTGTATGTTCCCGAAGAAGGTTAGAAGGAACATTGAACCTGATAATATATAACATAAATATGTATATTAGTGTGTTGTAATGTTGTGTACAGTATTCATGTATCAACTGTTAAATTAAGTTACATAAAGAGCATCTTAAAGAAGGTTATTTCATTACAGTCTCTTGGTGATTTACTGTTTTTTTTTTTTTTTTTTTTTTTTTTTTTTTTTAACAAGTGGAAGATAAAATTAATAGCAAAATAGTAAGTACAAGTATTATTTTAGTTTAATTATGTGTATATGTTTAATACTTTTTATATTAAAAGATTGATATGTTATTAAAATGTGCTTTTTTTAGGTCATTTATTTTTTGTGTAATTTTGTGTCCGCACATTCTTCAGCTTTTTTTTGTCAACTTGCACTTTCATGATATTATTGCTGCAATTAATTACATTAAAAGTACAATCCTAAACAGTTATCTGTTTTCAATACTCTATAATGAGACGAGTTCTATGCATGAGACATTATTATTACATACGTGGCAAATTACTGCAACATACCTTCAATTCAGTTTAATTCAGTCAGTTGGCTGTCACGTGGCAAATTACTGCAACATACCTTCAATTTGAGAAATGTTTTTCAAAGAAAAGGAACATAGATTGGCAAGTTCATTTAATGAAGCCGATCAATATGTTGATTCAATTTGCATCAAATTACATAAAGCCGGTTTATCAAAATTAATAGCCATTAAAATAAAATATCAATTTTGATTAGACTCAGTCGTGACTTTCAACAGAAATATGAGCTCTTTGCAAGTGAATACGTTGAATTAAATGCACACTCACAATGAATTCTTGTATTGTTTTTTTAAAATATTTCATTAAAGACATATTTAAATGTTTTCATAAAAGAAATTTTTAAATATTTACTATTGTTATTATATGACTATGTTTGCGTAAATAAAATCATTATTAAAGAAAATTATGTGTTTTGTGTAACTTTTGCTATGCTGATGTTTGGAATAGCATCTACTGTTTACTAATGGGCCACAGAAGTATTTTATGCAAAATGAGGGGTCATACATCAAAATAGTTGTAGGCAATCAGTGTACTTGATGCCTCATATAAATTAAACATGTAATTTATAGCAAACTATGCTTTTCATTAATTTCACTTGTGAAAACAACTTAGTAAATGTAGTTTGTTTTTCACATATGCTCTTGATGTATGTTTTTACAGCTAGTGAAAATTTTCTGCTTTTTCATTGCTAAATACTTATATGCTTACTAGTTTCAATCTTCCAACAAGAGAAAAATTGTATCAGCTGTGATGATGTGTTAGCTGCATTATTAGCAACAATTACTGAACTATGGTTGCCAGAAAGTGCCTGTTTAATATAAATTTTAAATACACTTTTGTACATTTTTAATAAATTGCTTATAAAATTATATTAATTAAAATAATAAGTATAAATTTAATTAAATTTATTCCATACATGCATATTAAATAAACTGTGTACTGTAGGCTTTGAGTAAAATGCTTGTGTGTATCAGTAACTGTCTGTCTGTCTTGCCAATGCTGAAATGTGCAAATTCTTGTTAGTGATTAAGATTGCTATGATAGGGAATTTTAAAATTCCATTTCTCTGTATTTTTTAAAACTATGAAGCTATCTGGTATGTTTTCAAATAAATAGATTAAAACGAAATAATTACTCAATTCTTACTAAATGATGTGCTTATAGATTAGATTTATGAATGTGCAGTATATGTATCAGATTTTAATGAAGTTTCCACCACCGCAAATAGCATCTATGCAAACAGTTCATGTTGTCGTGTTTAATTGCATTTTGTCAAACGATTTTTTTTTTTTTTGGCATTTGAAAGAAAGACTTACTTTAGAACACTGTGTTGTGAAAGGTATCTGAAATGGAATTATCATGTACTAGATTAGAACCATCATTTACTTCCAGTTCTGTTGCAAAAAGTCTACTACAGAATCATGTGTACAGCTTTTAGGTACTAATGTTGTATGTACTATGTATGTAATAACGACAGTGTGAAAGTTGTTACCAAAAGTTCAAAAACAAAGACTATGATAGAAGCAAAGCGCTATGGCCAGCTTACTGATGTTGATGAAGCCCGCCTGTTAAAACTTATGGAAGAAGATAAGTATACAACCACTCAAGAACTTGCTAAGGAGTTAAACGTTAATGTCGTCTATTAGTTGCACTATGCATCGCATAAACTTGACGTACAAGTTCAATCACTGGGTGCCGCATTAGCTGACTCAAGCAGCTAAGGACAAACATGTTCAGGCGTGGACTAATCCGCTCGAATATCAGAAGGTAAAAGTTCTGGACTGGATCGTCACTTGTGATGAAAAGCGGATTTACTTCAACAACACAGGCCATGAAGGGGGTTGGTCTGCATTTGGTGAGCTCATTGGCAGCATCGCAAAGCATGATTTGACTAACAAAAAGATATATGGTTTGATTGCCGTGGTATTATCCACAAAGAGTATCTAGAAAAACATAAAATCTTTGACAGTATGGTGAGATGCTTGTCTGTGTTGACACTGTTATCAATGGAAAATGTCAAACTGAGTTATAGCACTCTGTCAGGATAAGGTAATGCTCCATCAAGATAATGCAAGACCACATGTGTCTGCATTCACTGTCTGGACTCTGCACGGACTTGAATGAGATCTTTTGCCATGCCCACCATATAGCCCCGGCATTATACCTTCAGACTTCTACATTTTTTCACAGCTGCAGCTACATCTTGCTTATGCTATCTTTGATTCTGCACAGGACATCCAAATGAGGTTGGTCTGTTTTTCTACTCATGGCCACTAAGTTTCTGGGCTGAAGGGTTTAAAAAACTACCAAAATGTTGGCATAAAATCATAGATTTGGGTGGTGACTACTACCTGCGCTAAAGTTACTGATTTCATGTTTTCCCCCCTAACTTTATTAAAAATGTTTTTTGGCAGAAATCTTTCATTACAACCAGATAAATTCATCAAAGTTAGAACATGTCTAATCTAGAAATAGATATACCCAAATGGAAACATGGCTATACATGACTGTAAAATGCTTCTAAATTCAGCAAGTAAACAATAAAATAAGTAATGTTGCTTTTTATTAAGTTTATTTGTGATACCTTTGGTATAAACTGCAGCAAGTCAGTAATGGGTTTTGAGAAGTTATATATAGTTTGTATTAAAAAAATGAATAGTTGAAACTGTAGGTAACTGTGAAAAGGAATGGTAGGCTAAAAACTGATTCTCAACTGCATGTCTAACTGCTGGTGGTAAAATGAGCACTTGCATAGTGCTAAACTGTTGCAAATGCTATGCATAAATGGATGGATTACTTGCTGGACAACATACAAGTTACCTTAGAAACAAGAATAAGAACCTTAGAAAGACCTGTAGAAGTTTATTAGAAGAAAAGCAAATAGATTCAGACAGGTTTCATTTAGTCTGGATGTGAGAATGAGAATCACAATTGGAAAAGATAGTTTTATTCTTTAAAAAGGGCTTTTTTGAGCTGTTGTGACTGAAAAAGTCTTCATTAGCATTAAGTTTAGGTTAAATTTTTCTGAAAAAGCCTCTTAAATGGGAGTACTTTTCGAATATATATCTGCATCATCAATATATGATGCAATTACATAGCTGTTTTATACCCAAAACTGTTTGAGGATAAAATAATTTGTGAAAAAAATTATTTAATCAAGATTATGTAAAAACCAAATAGGCATAAATGATTTATTCCAGTAAAACTTAAAAAACTCTCTATTATAGAGAAATTTCTTCACAGAAGACTTTTAAAGAAAACTTGTACATACTTTCACATGTTAGAAAATCATGAAACTTTTTTGCTATCAATATGTTCTGCGATCAGCACTTAGGTCAAACCACTAGCATTCAGTTCTTGTAGCCATTGGTCATTAGTAGGAGTTAAAATAAGAAATTTAAAATTATTTATGCAGTACTTATGTGGAAATTTAGGGAATAGACTCACAAAATTTTCTTCATGTAGATATATCTGTATTTCATCCTTTGGTCCTGTTTGGAATAAAATGTTTCATTTATTTTAAAAAGTGATAAAAGTACAAAAGTTCAGAACATTTTTAAACAGTAATGTTGTCAAAAAAGTAGTAGGATTGTGTGGGAGGGATGATAATGCTAAGTAAAGAAATCTCACCCAACCCTCCTTTTAAAATAAAGCTGGACATTTAATTTTGGTGTACCTTTTTTTATGTTCAGAAAAAAAAAAAAAGAAAAAAAAGGGTTAACTAATTTTTATTTTCATATATCTATATTCAGATTTTTGAAGAACAATGAAATTGTAATATTTTATTCTACTTTTTAAAGAAATTTCCATTTAGTTTAATCATCTAATTCCCCCCTTCTTTAAATAGGCTGAAATCACTTTCACATCTTGTCATATTTTTCATTATTCAAAAAAGAAAGATAAAAAAAAGTATATTATGTTGTTAAGCATTTTGACTCTACAATCAAATTTATTATTTATCTAAATGATTACTTAAATGTTCAAGTATTATAATAGCAATCTAGACTTTTTAAATTTGCCTCTTCATGTTTAAAATAATGTACAAAAATCAGTATGGAAGTAGGTACACATAAATACTTTTATGTATAATTAGTGATTATTTATACAAAGCAAAAACAAAGCTGAAAAGTATTGCCACTTTTAAAAATTTATTCTTATTAAATTTTTCATTTTATTTAGTTTATTAAATAATTTTATTATAGGATGTCGTTCTTTATATGTGGTCAAGATTTCTTCAGAAATGTGAGATGGCTTTCTGGAATTCTGATAGCACTTCTAATAAAGTATTTCATTTAGATGTTTTTCCCACAAAAAGGTACCTTTTTATTTTAATACTTTTCTGTGTAATGGGTAATTCCTTATTTAAAATGTTCATAAGCATGTTTTTAGCATACTTTTTTGTGTAATGAGTAACAGTTCATGAATTATGAAATGCAGAAAGTGAGAAGTTTACCCTAATAATATTCATGATACTGAAGTTTATATATAGATTGAATGCAGACAAGATGCTGTAGTACTTTATGGGTAATGGAATGCCAGTCAAAAATTGTGGACCAAATCATTAAGTGTAATAATCTTTTTATTTCACCCCATGTGTAGCCAATGAGTTATCATAAATTAGCTGGTAGGAACAACAATCTGATAATTTTCTTTCCAAGATTTTCAGTTGCCTTTTTTATTAAAGTGCTTAAAAAGGAAAAGGAAGAAAAGCTATAGGGATTACTTGATTAGGCAATTGCCAAATAAGATATGGTCACGATTAAATTCATCCAAGACAAAGTTTTTTTTACCATAATTTAAAACTTCATTTAGAAAACCCTAAAATGTAACTGTATTTTGCTACTGCCGAAACATTGAAATAGTGCTTTAATGAAAGATCATGTCATGAGAAGAGAAGTTTAAAAATCAGAAACCTGTTTAAAGTTTTGCATATCACTTTTCTGAAAACTTTTTGGTTTATTTACTACTGCTTTATTTATTTCACGCTGACAGAATTCACTCAGCAGCAGTTGAGAACAAAACACTGTATGACTATTGATTAAAATACTTATACGCATTCATACTTATGAATTTTTATCTTGATTTTTTGCATTTATTTAAGACTTAATAAAGCAACTATTCTTTTAGTAAAACTATCTGTGTCTGTAAAGTTACTAATGAGATTTCGTGCAAAACATTTACATTTGGCACCAACTGTTTTATTTAGTATACATTTTATTTTAATGCTGCTTTATCTGTATCAGTCTATATCTTACATGGTTTGCCATTCTTCTTCATGTGTAGGCTGTCACTGTTTTGAAAATTTTCTATTCATGGTATGTTGGCATTGAAAAAATATTATCTTTCAGAATCTGTGGATGCTTTGGCAGCCAGCATTATATAATTCCTTAAGTACAATAGAATTCCAATAATCCTAAAATGTCAAGAGAAGGGATATGAAGATCTGTATATTTTGTGGATTATAGGACTGAGTTTTAACACATTTTCCACTTCCTAACCTTTACACTAAATCTGTATTGTTTACACATGGATAACTAAAATACTTTTATACCTTGTTATTATTCTTAAGAAATATTTTATCAATATTTATAGAATATAAAACTTATATTATTTAAATAAAATTATATACAAAGAAAATTATGCCAGTAAACAGTAGAGACATGAAATTTGGTTCAAGTAAAGAGCTGTTTTCATAAAAGTGGACAAAACTTTATATAAAATACTGTATATCAAAAATGAAATTTCTTTCAAGGTAATAATTATACTCTTAAACAAAAGAAAAATAAATACAAGTGGCCCTAGGTGCTTTCTCTATAAACATTTTAAGACTTAGCTTAATATCACACATCAGCTATTTCTTCTTCACTTTTATAGTGTATTTTACTTAATACTTGTTGCTCAGTTAAGCTTTCATTTGGCAGAAGTACTGAATGAGATTCAGTCAGCGCATTAATGTCTTCGTTGTTGATGCCTAGGTTTAGTTCATCATTAGGCTAACTATTTCATCTGTTATAGTTTTAGTCGTAAAAAAAATTACTCATCATTTGAGGACATGATTGATTCTAAGAATCTTTTATTGTTGATTTTTTTTTTTTTATTTCAGCTCATGAGTTTTCAGTATTATTTATTGTGTTCCATAGATTACAGTCTTCCAAAAATTGCTTAATATAGACCCTCTTTCCCTGCCAGTTTGTCTTTATGGCCTGATTCATTATTTATGCTCATAAATTCCATTTAAACATAGCTGTCACTGTTTGATCCACAGCTGTATAAGGTAGTATTAGGAGAAAGGATTATGACATTGATTTCCTAGTATAAATTCTGCAGAGATTTTGGGTGTCATGAAGCGTTGTTTTAGATTAATAATGCTTTAAATTATAAATTTTTTATCTTTGCAATATTGCTTAGCTGAAAGTATGAAATAAAAAGTGAGTAAATATTAATGCAGTAACCATTTGACAGCTTGTCTTTCCTTTTTTCTGGAGGCTTAGAGAAAGTGCTTAGAGAAATCATAACATTTTAAATTTCATACGGCTATGCATCATTAATATGCCCATTAACATTAAGTGCTGATGTCTTTTCACAGACTAATACAGAATAGTAGAGGTTGGGTTTTGAATCCGAGAACTCTAGAGATTCACCATTCTTATCAACATACGTGGAAGTGACTGCACTGTCAGATTTGTAGTATCAACAAAAATTTAAAAAAACTGAATTTTTAAAACTGTGTGAATGTGTAGCATATAAAAGTTGAGGACCACCTGTACAATGTTTATGAAAATGCCAACAGCAGTGATTTCCCTAAATTGAAGTCCTGTATTAATTCTAGGAGTTGCAATCTTTGTGTGTGCAGTTCTATTAATATTACTAAAAATAGTGCTAGCATTGAAATTTCGGATTTATAAAAAAAAAACTCTTTTTCTTTTAGCTTCTTTTTGTTTACCATGTTTTATGTTTGTAGTGCTAAAGAAGATTTTATAAGCGGTTTTTTTTTTTAAAGATTTTATCCTTATTTACTATGATGTAGATGTGCTTGCTCAATGCGTGGAATGTAAACAAACCAGTTATGATGTGTATGCTAGTTTGAATATGATATGCGGAAAGGCTGTACACAAATTCTTGACCCATAACTTTTTTTTAAATTAAATAAGCGTATAGATTTAAAATTAATATTAGAAGATAAAGGAATAGCAAAGGGGAAGAAGGTATTTGTCTAAAACAAAACAAAAAAAATACTGAAATTCAGAAACATTTTTTATCATGAAAAACCTCGCACAGGAGGAGAAAGTGCCAAATAATTTCCGTAATAAAATTAATTTACTGTAATCAAAATATGCTATGTGCTAATAACACATTTTTGTCAATTGTGGATTTCCATATGCATATAAACAGAAAACTGGCATTAAATTTGCTATGCTGAATTTTCTGAAACTTGAGATTTTGTTTGGTTACATTAAAAAACTTATTTATGTATCTGCAGATTAACTTGTGGTGGATTCTGCAGAATTGTGTATAAGTAGTTATATTAATTTTACAATAGGTATTATTACTTTCATGCAACAGGTGAATTCTTGGTCTCATAATTTTCAAGACCAGTTGGTATTAGTTTTATTCTTCTGTGTTTGAAATTGTATATTTTGTTAAATTTGTGGGGTATTTTGTTTCAGAGATATGAAGCGTTAATAATTTCAGTATAGTGCAAAGGCATACTAATGTAGCAAGAATTAGCATGCATTTGCACTTACACCCTTTTAAAAAAAAATTTACAATTTTGGGAAGGTCACTGATAAAAATACCTGCTTATAAAGGGTAATTTGAAAATGCAGCATAAATGTAAAATAGCATGCTGATCAAGAATATATGTAGATCAGTTATTATATGGTAAAACATAAGAAATTACTAAAAATTAAAATGCTTTTCTCTGTAAAATTAATCTGAAGAGTCATATTATGTGTTTCATTTTTTTAAAAATATTCACTTCATTTCAAATGTTTGTGTCGTTACAGAGATTTTAAATTATTACATGGTGATAAAATTGCAACAAAGAAGAAGAAATATTATAAAGGTAAACGAATCAGAAAGAAGCTTACTGAAGTAAAGAAGAATGCTGGAAGTGAGGTATTAAATGATTCCTAATATGGATATTACTCAAGTTGTTTTGTTTTAAACAAATGTAATAGTGAAAGTGAATATAAAATTTATTCATACTTTTAAGTTAATGCGATGCCAGCTTAAAATTGTGTACTTTTTGATTACCTGCATTCAAAACGTCATCAATTCATTGATGACTGTGTAGAGCAGGAATCCCCAACCCCTATGCCCGTGGGCACTATGGCACTTGCTGATCGTTTAACATATGTGCATTGCTTTGCGATCACAATAAAAATATTTTAGCTTTTAATAAAATTCTATGTGATAGTTTTGTCATTTTTAATGAAATAGAAATTGCATCCAACACAGATACCAGCACAAAGCAGAATGCGACTGATCTCTTTCTTTATGCATGTATTATTAACTCTATCACAGTATAAATTTACTTTAAAAAAGTAAATGGTGCCTGCTGTCCAATAGATATTCTAGAATATGCTCTTAGGGACAAAAAGATTGGGGACCCCTAGTGCAGAGCTTTTGTGAAATCACTGGCAATTAATTTTTCAGTTGTAGATGAGGTACAGTTATGTTTGAGGTGATTTCCAACCTGCATTCTAACATTTTGTTTGCAGTTTTTGATATTGTATTTCCATAAAATTTACTATTTAAAAACTATGACTTTACAGAATGGGCATTTTTGTATTCTGTTATTGTTTGGAAAAACCACAGCCAACTCTATAATGACCTTGAAGCACAAAAATCACGTGATCCAGATGGTCGATGTGTTTTTGTGGTAGTGTGTGATTTTGAACCCGTGGTCGGGAATTTTTTGGATATATATTATGCTAATAGTGTTATGTAAAGTGGATTATTTTGCTATTCTAAGTGATTTTAAATAGCTTTATGCAATGGTAAATAATAGTTTTATCTATATTTCGGTTTATATTATTTTAATTTTTAGATTTGTTTGGGGAAAATTGTAGCTGTTCTCAAGCCTATCTAAGTGTTTTGTTTTAGCATCGAATACATTTACTCTAGTTTGAACATTTTGCATAGTATTAATTGGAATATTTGTTTGGTATACTACATTAGGAATTCTTTATTTCGATTATGTCTTTCTAATAACATATTTGAAAACAGAATGCCTCGACTGCAGTGTATTTGGTTGCAAATCCAATTATGACAAAAATGAGAATGTCACTACTTACTCTTTACCTAAATCACCTAAAAGAAAAGCTGAATGGTTAAGGAAAATTCCGTGAGATTTAAGTAAATTTAAAAAACCCGTAATTTGTATAAAGCATTTTGATGAATCGCTGATAATTATTAGAAAGTGAGAAAAAGCTTCGTTTTAAAAGCAATATTATAATTTCAAATACAATGTCCTTTTAACATCTTTTTTACCAGATTATGATAAGGATTCTATCTTTACCTTTATGAATATTGATGATTATTCAAATTTACTAATTAATGATTTTTCTATAGAAAATGTTCCTTCTGATATTTTACCAGTGCTAGTTTATATTTCAGGTTATGCTTCCATGAAAGAATTAAGGGTGGTAAAATGCAGTATTTGCCAGGACTGGTTGCAAAGTGTTCATTCAGTAGATATAGCAGATGATATTTTTGGTTTTCTTAAAGAATTAGATAGGGGGAAATTAACTTTACCATCTGAAGATGCTTTACTAACACCTTCAATTGTACATTTCTTATTTGGTGAAATTCTGAAATCATGGAAGATACATTTCTTATATCAGGAAAGCAATTGGGTATTTTTTATAAGTTATCTTGCATACAGTTAGGTCAAATTAACTTTAATTAACAGATTCTTGCACTTGTGGAATGACTTTTTAAACCCGGTTAGAAAATATCTGTTTGATAACTTGTAAAATAATGTTAAATAACTATACAAAATATAAAAATGACAAAATTAATATAAAATGTTCATATAAAAAAGTTAAAATTTTTACCAATTAATTTCAGTTAATAAGTCACAACTGTTTATTACTTCCTTGTATGAAGTAAAAAGGAAGTATTGTAATCACGAAAAGTTTCAGGCAGCATATTTCAACGAAAATATCCATTTTGACCACTATCGAATGCAATTTTACAATGTTTTTGTGACATCTGTACATAACGACAGAATAAAAGACTCTTTTCCTCCAAAAAAATTATAAAACTGCTTTAAAAGAGAAATTTTCATGTCATCTGTGCGAACGTATGTACGTACGTATCTCGCATAACTAAAAAACGAGTAGCCTAAGAATGTTGAAATTTTGTGTATAGGACTGCTATAACATGTAGATGTGCACCTCGTATTTTGGTTGCAATTGGCCGCACCAATTGTATATAAATATATTTATATATATATGTCATAATAAGAGCAAAGGAAACATATATATCCACTCTGTCACTCAGCACAGTGATCTCAGTTTCTTTACTATTATATGTTTGTAAATTGTATGTTTTTTTGCTTTAGAAATGATTGAATTATGTTGTTCTATCCTTTCTGGAATTTTTTCGACAAAATAAGTGTTTAAGATTTACTTTGTAATTTTTAATACAGATATTTTGAGTTTTTATGTATTTTTGCCTTGTCGCGAACTGAATTAATTGAATTAAGTGAGAACTGAATTAATTGAATGAGAAATACTAAATCGTCTGTGGAAAGCTGTTTTTTTTTTTTTTTTTTTTTTTGTTTGTTTGTTTGTTTGTTTGCTTAATTTCTTTTATACATCATTCTAGCTTTATTATAGTATTTGAATAGAACATGTGGTTATGATAAGATAATTCTTTAAATGATATAAATTTTGTGCATTCTGAGTTATAATATGAACGAAATATTAAGTGAACCTAGCGGCAGAGTGTCGCTATGGTAAACAAATATAGTGAGTTTTAAAGAGTGCATTTATTCTATTGTGGTTTATGTGCTGTCAACGAAGTAGATTTAATTCAATCCAATAAGTTTAAATGAAATGCAAGAAAAATGCATATAATTTAATATTCCGTACAAGCAGAGTTGCCAACTCTCCCGATTTTCGACTGCTCTCCCGCCAACCCGATTTACAATATATTTCTCCCGACTTTTTCTTATTCTTAAAATTTCTCACGATTTTTATGCAACTTGGCTTAATACTTTGTTATATGAATAAAAAAAAAGTGCTTTTGGACGTCTGAAAGCAATTGAATTTTCTCTACATTATATCTAAAACAAAACCTTGCGAATCAGATAAGTTCTGCTTTGTGAGTCAGAGCATTATACGTATCCAGAAATGTCATTGTCCAGTTCTCCAATGGGCATTGAGCTCCACTGCGTGTCAGCTGGCTTATATTAGCCAATGAGGACAAATCAAGTTGTTATTTGGATGTTCTTTAGTTATTTCGTTCATTTTGCCGAGTTGTGTGAGTACACGCCTTAGGGAAATAGTTTTAGAAATTGTCATCTTTTTGTTACGTCTGCGAGAAAGGTGAAATACTCGTGTACATTTGAAAAATCGTACACAGTTGACTTTCCTTCCATTATTTCCTCAAGGAAATGTAATAAATTTGCGATGTGTACCGCCTGCCGTTGCGATTTTTTTCGATTTCACATGGTGGAAGGGCGGATGTTCTCAAACATGTGCGTACACAAAAACACAAGGATAACATGAGTTTGTTTTTAAAAACCAAAAAGTAATTAATTCAGAATGTTTGTTCTCTCTGCCTTTTTACTGAAGCACAACCTGCCTTTTTACTGAAGCACAACCTGCCACTGAATGCATCGGTTTCACGCTGCAGCTTTATTTAGAAAAATGTTTCCCAATAGTGAAATCTCTAAGAAATACTCAAGTGCAAGAATCAAAACAGGTGCAATTGTTAAAGAAATGCGTTTGAAAATAAATCTTCAGTTATTGATTGCATTAAAACAGCTCCTTTCTGCCTCTCTACGGATGGAAGCAATAATACCGATTCAAAACTGTATCCAATTGTTGTTCTTTTTTTAATCCAGAGTCTTCAGAAATTGAGTGTAGTTTACTTTCTGTTCCCACTTTAGAAGGACATTTGACAGGCTTTAATATAGCATAGCTAATTATTAAAACTTTAAAAGAAAATGCAGGCCCTCTGGATAATTTCTTAGAACTTGGTGTCGATAATGCACCAGTATTCGTAGGCTTGAAGACTGATGTTGCAGGCATCTTGAGAAAGGAAAATTCAGATTTGGAGATTATGAGGTGCACCTGTCACCTCTTAAATTTAGCAGCTGTAAAAGGGGCAGCTTCTTTACCAATAAATGTGGATGAACACATTGTTGATATTTATTATTATCTTGAAAGTTCTAAAAGGAAGGGAAAATTGAAACAATTCCAACAGCTGCATAGCAGCAGCATTAGAAAAACTTTTATTAGCGAAAGCAGGCCTACCTGGCAATTGCTGTGAACAAAATTATGAAGTACTTTCTTAAAGAAAGCAAAATCTGCCACTGTTTATAACATTTGTACGAAAACTGATTAAAGTGTCTTTTTTTTTTTTTTTTTTTTTTTTTTTTTTTTTTTCTTTAAACGGTGCAAGTAATAAAAATGTTTTTTCTGTGTAAGGTATTTTTGTGTTGCTTGGATTTAAGAATTAGTTACTATTTAAAGTTAATTCATTATTAAAAACTATATTTTTATCATTTAAAAAGTCTTTTTAACATTGTGAAAAATCTCCTGATTTCTTAAAAAAATCTCCTGATTTTTGAGTGTCATAGGTTGGCAAGTATGTGTACAAGAAAGTCATGTGGTGTACACATCAGATTTTTTTTATGTATGCTTCTGCATAAATTATGTAATGTGTAGGATGCGTGTATATGGTACATTCAAGTTTTATGAATACATTTTTGATAGTGGAATAGGCCTGTAATTTGGGGCACCACTTTTTTAAAAAAAAAAAAAAAAAAAAAAAAAAAAAAAAACGAGCCTAATCACTTACCTCTTAAGTGGTTTGGAAAAAGTGGTACAACATGAAATTGGAGCTGGCACAAATAGAAGGCTGTCCTTTTTTATGAATGT